TACAAAAGCACAGAAATTGGGGAACCATTAAGAGAGGGTGCAGCATTAGTAGAAGCAGAAAGAGAGGAAGGCAGGTCCGCTAAAAATAAATTAAAAAGTAATGGGGCTAAGACACATCCCTGCCGAACACCTTTGTCAACTAATAATTGGTCAGAGAGCTCATAGGAATTTGGCAGCCGAATCTGACATATATTGGAGGAGTGGAGACGCCTAAGCAAAAAAAGCAATCGGGGTTCAATACCCCAGTTGTTAAGTTTATCCCACAGTAAATTCCTATTAACTGAGTCAAAGGCTCCTCGTAGATCAACGAAGGCGGCAAAAAGTCTAGCTTTGTGATAGATTGAGTATTTTTCGGCAAGATGATACAAGAGCAGAACATGATCCAAAGTCGAGGCTTCAGAGCGGAAGCCTATCTGTTCCTTCCCAGGGAGGTTTTTAGACCTCTGCCCCTTCGAAATCCAGCTTGTACTTCTGGGAGTTTTTGGTCCACATACTGCTAAAGCCTACCATGCTTTCTAAGGGCCACTTGATTTCACTCTCCAGGATATCTGGCTCAAGGTCAGCAACCACACTATCTGGATTGTCCAGGACATCCAGACCTTTCTGGTATAATTCTTCTGTATATACTTGCCACCTCTTCTTGATGTCTTCTGCTTCTGTTAGCTCCCTACCATTTTTGTCCTTTATCATGTCAATCTTTGCACAAAAGGTTCCTTTAATAGGTCCAATTTTCTTGAACAGATCTCTGGTTTTTCCCTTTCTATTATTTTCCTCTATTTCTTTGCATTGTTCATTTAAGAAGGCCCTCTTGCCTCTCCTTGCTATTCTTTGGAAGTCTGCATTCAATTTTCTGTAACTTTCCCTATCTCCCTTGCATTTTGTTTCCCTTCTCTTCTCCACTATTTGTAAGGCCTCGTTGGAAAGCCACTTAGCTTTCTTGCATTTCCTTTTCTTTGGGATAGTTTTTGTTGCTGCCTCCTGTACAATGTTACAAGCCTCCATCCAAAGTTCTTCAGGCACTCTTTCCACCAAATCGAGTTCCTTAAATCTGTTCTGCACTTCCACTGTGTATTCATAAGTGATTTGGTTTAGATTATACCTGACTAGCCCAGTGGTTTTTCCTACTTTCTTCTGTTTAAGCTTGAGTTTTGCTATGAGAACCTGATGATCAGAGCCACAATCAGCTCCAGGTCTTGTTTTTGCTGACTGTATAGAGCTTCTCCATCTCTGGCTGCAGAGAACATAATCAATCTGATTTTGGTATTGCCCATCTGGTGATGTCCACGTGTAGAGTTGCCTCTTGTGTTGTTGGAAAAGAGTGTTTGTGATGACCAGCTTGTTCTCTTTACAAAGCTCTATTAGCCTTTGCCCTGCTTCCTTTTGAACTCCAAGGGCAAACTTACCTGTTGTTTGTTTTAGTTTTTTTTTAGTTCATGCCTATCATGTCCCCTGTCAACCTTCTTTTTGTAAGGCTAAACATTCCTAACTCCCTAAGCTGCTCCTTGTAGGACATTTCTTCCAGAGCTTTAACTATTTTAGTCATCCTCCTCTAGACATGTTCCAGGTTGTCAACATCCTTTTTGAATTGAGGTGCCCATAACTGGATGTGAAAGGCAGGTTGCTGTGGCAGCTGTTATTCTCTGAGTAGGTATCTGTGAATTCACATGAAAAGGCTTTAGAATGGAGAAATTGGCAGTAGCACTACCCCTACCTTCCCCCATGCATATTCTTGGTCACCAAAGTGATTCTCCTCAGTTGTGGTCTGTCAAAATTAGAATAGAAGTAGACACAGACTACTTAGTAGACACTACTGTGGGAAATTTCAGTTCACAGATGATCACCTGAAGAACAAGTTACCACTCTTCCGTGTAATTTCTGTGACTCACAGAAATTAGAAGTTTAGAAGTTTCTCCTCTCCAGAGAAAGGTGATGTCAAGTGAGAATCAACAAGAGGATTTTTCTGCCAAAGGAAGCACCAGCCAGGCAGCTGTGCAGCCAATGTCCATCAGAGGAGTGCTAGAGATAGTTGCTCCCAAAGTCAAAACAGACCTGGTACAGCAACTCTTGACTCCCACTGGAAAGAGGAACTTCAACATTTGGTATACCAATTCTATGCAGTCTGCAACTCAGTGGGCTTAATGTTGTGAAGAAACTAGAAGATCTTGCCTTCAACCTCCATAGGATACAAAAAGTCAGGTGGATTTGTGAAAGACTGTAATATGAGGAATGCAAAAGGCAACTATTTGAAAAGTGCTATCATATATCTATCTCCTAAGTCTTTTCTCAAGGCTAAACATGCCTAGTTCTATATATGCGCGAAGGCTTTCATGGACGGGATCTAATGGTCTCTGTGGCTGGCATCTTCAGAGGACAGTGCTAACGTGAAACGTTAGGAAGAACAACCTTCAGAACACAGCCAAAGAGCCCGAAAAACCCACAACAACCACGCAACAGTCTGTCTCGGAAAAAACTGCAACATTATGTCCCAGTTAATATGGAAGCAGGAAACAGCCTTGGGAAGGAAAGAAATGTCAGGATGTAGTAGCATTTTATCAACATAGAAGTACAGTGGTGCCCCGCATAGCAATCGCTCCGTTCTACGATGAAATCGCTTTGCGCTGGACTTTTTGCCATCGCAAGAACAATCGCTTTGCGATGACCCCTATGGGGAAATTTTGCTTTGCGATGATGGTGGGGGAGCGCTTTCCCGCGATCATCCCAAAGGCCCCATTTTCGCACAGCTGAATGGCGGCTCCAAAATGGCCGCCTCCTGTTTTGCCCCGCTTTAGAGGCACCGAAAATGGCCACCACTATGGAGGATTTTCGCATAAGGTGAGTTTTTAAACCCATAGGAACACATTAAACGTGTTTTAATGCATTTCTATGGGCTTTTTACAATCGCTTAGCGATGAAATCACATAGCAGCAATTTTTGCTGCACGGATTAACATCGCTAAGCGAGGCACCACTGTACAAATAAGGAAGATTGGAGACCTTTAAGAGAAACTTAGACAACCACCTGCCAGATATCCTTTGATTTGTTTTCCTGCATTGAGCACGCGGTTGGACTTGATGGTCTTAAACGTCTCTTAAAACTTCATGATTCTATGATTCTAAGATCAGAAGAGAGAGTGGCAAATTCTGAAGCTCTTCATGAACAAGTGATAGTGACTGGAAACATAATCTTCCATGACACGAGTCACTTCATAGTTTCCTATCCTGACAGCAAGGGAAGTAGAGGTGTATAACATACAACCCAAACTGTCTTCATCTACTGGAGAGGAATGAATCTTCTTCTTACATGACTGGGAAGCCTCAACAGTTACGGAAATGGGCTTCAAGTGATGAAAAGGAAAGAAAGCTCCTTTTGGATCCAGTACATTTTTTTTCATAGGTTGGTGGTACTGATGAAGATGATTTGACCAAGGAAAACAATGACATGAAAAAAGGGAAGGAGAATGGGACTACTGAAGTAATCAACTGGGGGGGGGATTCCTGTATATTGAGTTGCAATGACTTGGTCTTTAGAGGACTTGTTTCGCATAGGGTCAAAGGTCCTCTGAAGGTGAAAAGTGTGTATTGTCCCCAGGTATTTCATCTGGAGCTGTGAATGTTTATGGAGCTACAATCAGAATCAGATGCCTGCTTCTCAAGAACCATATCAGTGATTGGTAAGGACGTCTGGTAAAATGGGAGGCACATAAAAGGCAGAACCTGGTCAGCACAGCAGAGGTGTATATGGTAAATGTCCCGAAGCAGGGAACCGATCATTGTTAAACGAAAAAACTCCATTTAAAACATCGTATTGTGATTGCAAGAACCTAATAGTATAGCGATTTCCTCATTAAGCAAGGCAATCGTTAAGCGAGGCACGACTGTATTTATTCTGAACTTAAGCAAAAATACATTAAAATGTGGAACGTTCTATATGCGATGACGGAGGAACAAATTATAAAGTATGTGAGCTCAACAGTGAATTAATTTTGATATAGTTAATGGATAAATTCTAATTCATGGACAGATGCAGAGAGAAAATAGGAACAATCTATTCAGACTTAGACTTCCAGAGGTAAATTAAAAACATCCGCAACTGTTCTACAGATAGTCCTTAGGACCTCCTTAATATTAGCTATATTGCACTTTTTACTTGGAACTACAGAGAAACACCTGGATTTTCTCCTCCTACCGTTTTTTTACCTGTGTACAATTACCTTGGCCAACTCTATCACTTTTCTGTGTGTGCCATGTCCCCTCAGTTGTACTCTTCTCTCCAAGTACTAGTTCTCCAATCATAAACAGGTTCTCTCTTGAATCTTCAGAAGCAAGGCTATAATTACCAGTCTTCTTGTAGATAAGGTCATTAGTATCTTTTATGGCCTTCATCATTTTCAGAAGCAGTTTCAAAATTTGCTGGTAAGACTCTAGGAACTTTTCCCTAAAATAAAGCATAAAATATTAAGTTGCTATTTTTATTCTGTGCCATGGATTTGCCTGTACTGCATCTCATTAACAATATATTGCTTCCAGCAATACACTCTTCCCGTTGTTTCTCCTCACAGTCCACTTCCTGTTCTTTCTGTGAATTGCAGTCCACTGGTCCAGTGGCTTTATCTGAAGTATTGTCCTGTCCTAATTATCTGACAACTCTGCAGTGACTAGGGATGTGCATTTCAGATTTTTTTCCACTGGAAATGCCATCATTCAACTTTCTGGAGGTCCCATGTGCCAGATCCATATTTCACAAACATCCAAATTGTGCCCAGTTGGAGGGAAGGCCCAGCTGGCAGGCTTCATGTCTTGGATAAACCTTAATTCCTGTTCTGGTTGCTGGGAAGCTTCCTTTTCAAACAGGAAGTTAGGCCTATCCAAGGCATGAAGTCTGCCAGGTGAGCCATCTGTCCAGATCAGCACAATTTGGATATCTGTTAGATACGGGTCTGGCAAATCAGACTCTCAGAAAAGCTAATTATGGGGGCTTGAAGTTCAAAAATCCAAAATGTACATTCATAGCAATTATCTCCTTCAATCTACTGCTGTCCTCAACACTCAAGATATCTGGCTCCAGCCCTCCAGAGGGCAGAGGGCTAGAGGTGGGGCTAAGCAGTGAAATGGACTGACGTATTTTCTAGGGCTCTGGAAAGTCTGCCATCCCCCTTCCCCAATTCCGCAGACTCTAAATAGAGTCTGGAGTCATCCACCAGGAGAGAAGAGAACCCCCAAAATGAGGCAGATGCTAAGGTGATAGGTCCCCCCAGGAGGGAAGCCCTTCACCTTAGGGAAAGCCTAATCATTGGCGGAGAAGGGGACAGACAGCCAAAACACCTAACCAGCTTCAGAAGACCAAACAGAGAGAACTAGACACGAAGGGATGGAACTTTGAAATGTAAATTGGAAGACTGATAGATTGTGAGTAACCCATTACCGATGAATTCAACATATTTTTGAGAAGACTGTACATGTTTGGAGCACTAATTAACTAATGAAGCTTGAAGAGGGGAGAGGACAGTAAAATAAACAGAAACGGCAGAAGCCCAGAGAGATAACATTCCAAACCTGTTGAGGGTGAAGAAGTAGGAAAAGAAAGAAGGAAAAAAAACTGGCTGCATGAGCTTGTTAACTGTTCAAATCACCCACTCCCATCCCCAGAAAATTGGAGGTGATTTCTAAATAGCTATGGGATAGCTACGGGAGAGAGATTTTATTATGCTTATATGGATTACAAATGGGGTTTTGGCAACTGGTAATGTACAAGCCCCTTAGGATTTGACTTTTAACAAAAGAGCAGCTGCCTGAACAGTTCAGGCTCTTCTGGTTTTTCACTTCTGGACTAGCGTAGGCTAGCTGGTGAAATTCTGATTTCTAGATTTATTTAGAGGTTGGAAGATTTTACATTGGAGAAGATCCCTGAGGACTGCGTGAGAAACAATTCAATTCGATTCGAATAACTATGCTGACAATTTCCTGATGCTTTTATTTTGTGATTTTGACAGTCTTGTTCCTCCATTCCTTCTCAACATACAATCATGAAAGATCAACAACTGTGGGTTTCTTGTTATGTCTATGCTTTGATCTGATAACATGCAAAAGAAACAGACCTTGGGTGAAGTCGCCTAGCAACGGAACAAGTTTGGAAAGAAGGGGAAGGAAACTGAGTTACGCTAGTGACATAGGGTCATACTTTGGCCATCTCAAGAGAAGAGAAGACTCCCTGGAAAAGACCCTGATGTTGAGAAAGTGTGAAGGCAAGAGAAGGGGACAGCAGAGGATGGGATGGTTGGATAGTGTCATCGAAGCTACCAACATGAATTTGACACTGTCACGACCCAGACTCCTTGAGGGGAGTGCTTGGTCGGGGGATAGAGAGCAATTAGGGAGTCTGAATCTCCTTTTGGTAGAGTCCAAATGACCTCAGCCAGGAAGAATTACAGATCCCTTTTCAGAAGTCTATCCTAACAGATACTTGCTTACACTTAACTAAGTTCAGCAAGAACACACACATGAGCTTTGTAGTCACCAGATCTATCAAAGCTCAGGCAGATAAGACTCTGTAGCATTCTGGGGCCTCACAATCTCTCTGGAAGCAGGCTCAGCACACTTGCTGTTCAAAAGACCATTCTTAAGGATTTTAAGAATAATTTTTTTATTGAAAAATTAAAGACTGTATAGATATTCAGTTTGCTGCATAAGCAAGGCGTAAGTTACATTTCCATAGAATATTGTAAAGAAATCTAGGCATCATTCACTAAACAAAAATATAAGTAAAAATACTAAAAAGCCTCTTTCAGAGAAGACATAGGGTATGGCCCCCTCTCCTCCTTTCTGAGGTTCTACATTCCAATTCCCTTCAATCTAACATAAGGAAAAAAAGACTCAAAATGGCTCCTAAGCCTCTCAATAGACTAAGGAACAGTACACATGGTGCAAACTCCATTTTTCTACTTTCTTGGCACCACCCTTCTTCTTTGTCTCTCAAGGTGCTGAACCAATAGGCGATTAGGAAAGTCCGTTCTCATTCCGCCTTCTGTTCCCAGGAGAAATTCAGGTGTTGTTTTCCTTCTCCTCGTTTTGGTCTGGATCTAGACAACATGTTGTGTCTTCACACCTTATCGTCTCCTGGCATGGCTGGGTACAAGGAACTTTCCCATCAGCTCATGAAGAAAACACTCCCATCATACAAAATCATTCTTACACAGGACCAATATGGATCCATTTTACATTTCTTCACAACTACATAACCCATATTCATACATGCTTTTAACCCACATAATCTCCACCTCGAGGCAAAATCCAGAGCCGGAGTCCTGGAGGCAGTTCGTGTCGTTCTGTCAACTCCTGCAACGTCGCTGGAACCAGTTGTATTGGCTCTTGCCTTTCCATTTGACTATTTCAAAGACGTGGAGAGGGGGATTTGCTGCTTGCGTAACAGCCTATTCTCCATGTTATTTTACCCAGGCTTCATGCTCTGGAGCCCGCCTTAAACTGGGCAGTCCCCAGCCAATAAGGTGCTACCTCGCCACAGTCTATTAACCTCATGGGGTGCGTGGGGTTTAGGGTGGAAGATGACAAGCAGATCAATAACTCTACACCATGCAAAATCATAAGAAAACTTCTACCCTAAAGTTGGGCAAGTGAAATGTTCGGACAATGACCCCTGGCTTTTCTGATGATGGCTTTTCTGACGACCTGCAGAAAATAGACGACGTGCGCAACACAGCTGTCATCGACATGGAACTGAGTAGACTGCAAATGGACATTGTTGCCTTGCAAGAGCAGACTCAGGATCTGTCAAAGAAAAGAACTTCTCATTCTTTTGGCAGGGAAAACCATTGAATGAGAGCAGGGAACATGGTGTTGGCTTTGCGGTCAGAAATAGGCTGTTGACATCCATTGTTCCACATACTGTAGGGAGTGAAAGAATCCTATATCTACAGCTCCACTCATCAGCGGGACCGGTCACCAGTGCATATGCACCAACACTGTCGTCCACAGCAGAAGTGAAAGACAAATTCTACGACAATCTGGCAGCTACTATCAAAAAACCAAAAGAGAACCACTGTACATTCTAGGAGATGTTAACGGTAGAGTTGGTGCTGATCACAATTCTTGGCCCACTTGTCTAAGCCGTTTTGGCATTGGAAGGATGAACAAAAATGGCCACGATTGCTGGAGTTTTGCTGTTACTATGGTCTTTGTGTCAGCAACACGTTCTTTAATACAAAGCTTCAACACAGAGTTTCCTGGAGACATCCAAGATCCAAGCATTGGCATCAGCTCAACTTGATCTTCACTAGACGTTCTAGCCTTCCTAGTATTACGATCACGTGCAATTACCAGAGTGCTGATTGTGATACTGATCACTCCCTGGTGTGTAGTAGAGTAAAACTGCGAACAAAGAGATTGTATCAAACGAAAAAGGAAGGAAGACCACGTATTGACATCAGCAAGACTCGTGATCAAAGAAAAGTGGAGGAAACCCACTTGAGGAAACCCCTCCAGGCCCGGCAGATGGAGATGCACCTGAATGATGGGAACATTTCAAGAATGCTGTATATAACACCGCCTTGTCCACATTTGGCAAGAAGACCAAAAAGATAGCCAACTATTTCAAAGCCCATTCGGAGGAGTTGATGCCAGCCATCGAGGATAAGAGGAGAACTCTAGCAGCATACAAAGTGTGCCCTAGCGAGAACAACTTTTAGGCTCTTCGAGCTACTCGTAGCCAAGTCCAACAGGCTGCCAGATGTTCCAACAATTATTGGCTTCAGCTCTGTTCTCAGATACAGTTAGCAGTGGACACAGGTAACATCAAAGGAATGTATGACGGCATCAAGCAGTCTTTAAGTCCAATACAGAAGAAATCTGCTCCCT